ACACGTTTATGAAAATCAATGCTACCTCAATAAAAATTTTTAAACAAAAAAGCACCGATGAAAAGTGAACAGAGCCTAAGGGACGTGTGGGACATCAACAAGTGGACAATATACACATTGTGGGAGTCCCAGAAGGAGAAGAGAGAGAGAAAGGCGTGGAGAGATTATTTGAAGAAATAATAAAACACATGAAAATAATCATCCAAGAAGCTTGATGAACTCCAAGTAAGGAAAATTCAAAAGACACCCACACTAAAACACATTAGAATCAAAGTGTCAAAGACAGACAGAGAACATTGAAAAAGGCCAAGAAAAAAAGTGTCTCATCACACATAAGAGGGGTCACCAATAAGATTACACACAGATTTTAAATCAGAAATCTTGGTGGCAAGAAGGCAGTGGTTTGATATATTCAGAGCACAGAAGGAAAATAAAAAAACCAAACCTGTCAACCAAGAATCCTATTGGCATAACTGTCCTGCAAAACTGAGGAAGAATCAAGACCTTACCAGATAAACAAAAGCTGAGGGATTTTGTTTGCACTAGCTCTGCCCTGGAAGAAATTCTGCAGGGAGTCCTCCAGGTGGAAATGTGAGGACACCAGACGGCAACTTGAAGCCACAGGAAGAAATAAAGAACTCTGGAAAAGGTAAATATGTGGACAGTTATAAAATAGTACCCCTGTAACTCTGGTTTGTAATTCCACTTTTTGTTTTCTACATAATTTGAGACTAATGTATAAAAACAATTATTATTCTATATTTTTGTCCCCTGTGCATAAAATGTAATTTTGTGGCATCAATAATGGAAAGGAATGGGCCTAGGGATGATCAAATTAAGTGAAGTAAGTCAGAGAAAGACAAATATCATAGAACATCACTTATATATGTGGAAAATCTTTTAAAAAATGATATAAATGGACTTATTTACAAACTGAAAATAGACTCACAGACATAGAAAACAAACCATGGTTACCAAAGGGGAAGAGGTGTTGGGGAGGGATAAATTAGGAGTTTGCGATTAGCAGATACACATTACTATATATAAAATAGATCCTGCTGTAGAGCGCAGGGAACTGCATTCAATGCCTTGCAGCAGCCTGTCACGAAAAAGAACATGGAAAGGAATATAGATACACGTATAACTGAATCACTGTGCCGCACACCAGAAACTAACAGAACGTTGTACACCAACTAGACTTCAATAAAAATCACTAACTAAATAAAAATCATTCAAAGGAGGCAGTGAGGGCGCTTTAAGGGGCCGAATCTTTGTATGCTCTTGAAGTTAAGCTGGCATAAATTCAAATCGTAGTGTTGTAACTTTAGAACATTCAGTTTTGCAGGGTGAAAAAACATTCTGGAGCTGGATGGAGGTGAGAGCTCACAGCAATGTGAATGTACTTACTGTCACTGGACTGTACACTTAACATGGCAAAAATGGTAAATTTTATGTTATGTTTTAAAATTTTCAAAAATACATAATATTTTTAAATAAAAAAAATGCACAGAGGCGTCCTGTGTTCTCCAAGAAGCTGTTTCCCACCTCCTCTCTCTCTCCTCTCTCCTGCCCTACTTCACTGCTGGGAAGGAGAGTGTCCATTCATTTTTGGACTTGCTCCCATCAGCTGCTTCCTCTCAGTAGAAAGGAGTGCTTTCCCCCTTCCTCTCTGTCATCTCTAGTGAAGAGACACTCTGCCAGCTGCTGCCTCTTGACCTGACAGAGCCAGGCGAACTGAGAGCCACTTTATGATTATGTGCCCTGCACAGACGGCGAGGTGCGTCTGTTACTTGGTGCTTACAGAGTCCTCACTGTTTGGGATGTGATGTGGGTACGCAGGCATCTTCTGGAGCCACTGCAGAGCACGGGGGTGGGCAGGTTTTCAGGGTATGAAACAGGAAATATCATGAGGACTCTGTTTCTGACAGAACACGTTCCCCTTTTCAGCTCCTACCCCAAATCAGGAATTTTTTTTTTTTTTACTACCAAAGAGTGAGTTAGATAAACCATTTCCTCCACTGCACCCAGTATGGGTTCCACAGCGCAGGGGATAAGGACACCGGAGTGGCTGGTTACAGGGTAAAGCCCTGGACTTTAGCCTCAGGGCCAGTAATGCAGAGGAAGGGCGTGAGGGGCGAGGGATGGAAGGACAGAGAGAGATGGAGAGACAGAGGGAGTGGAGGAGAGAGAGAGAGAGAGGAGGGGAGAGGAGCAGACAGAGGGAGGGAGGGAGGGAGGGAAGGAGTGAGAAGAGAGACTGAGGCAGAAAGCGAGGAGAGCAAGCCACTCACTGAGGAATAAGTAGCAACAGACCTTCAGCAGAAACAGAAGCAGATTTCTCTAGAACACTGTGGGTGAGGACTCTGTTCTTAAATCAGGGGCAGTCACCTACGCAGAGCCGGGAGCTTCCTGCAAACCTTCGGAAGTGCTCTGACACAATAAAGCAGCATTCATTAAGAAATCAGGTATCTGTTGACAGATGACTGGATAAAGAAGCTGTGGTATATTTATGAAATGGAATACTATTCAGCCATGAAAAAGAATAAAATAATGTCATTTGCAGCAACACAGATGGACCTGGAGATCATTATTCTAAGTGAAGTAAGCCAGAAAGAAAGAAAAATACCCTATGGTATCACTCATATGTGGAATCTAAAAAAAAAGACAACTTATTTACAAAAGAGAAACAGACTCACAAACATAGAAAACAAACTTATGGTTATCAGGAGGGGAAGTGGGTGGGAGGGGATAAATTGAGAGTTTGAGATTTTCAGATACTAACTACTATATATAAAATAGACAAACAACAAGTTTATACTGTATAGCACAGGGAACTATATTCAATATCTTATAGTAATTTATGGTGAAAAAGAATATGAAAATGGATATATGTAAGTTCCTATATGACTGAAGTATTGCACTGTATGCCAGAAATTGACACAACATTGTAAAATGATTATATTCAATTAAAAAAAAGAAATCAGACATTGAAACCAGAATCCCTGGGAAGTATAATCAGAAACCTCCTGTATCAGTTACTTCTCAACTTAAATGAGGGACTTCAGGTAAATTATAGCTCTAGTATTTTTCAAGTAATAACCCTTTTTTCTTTGTTCTTTTTAAAAAGTTGACATATAGTTGAGTTACACTATTGTGTTAGT